GCTGCATTGTAAAAACAGCTTTGGGGATTCCGAATTACATTATTGACCAAATATAGTCATAACCATAGTTGGTCAATGGCATCATTCAGAATCTCTTGTGCTGTGATTACATTATCACAGTGCCATGAGTTTGGGCAAGAAAACCACCACAATAGTTCATTAGGTCTGCGAACAGGCTGCGTTTGCCTCAAACTCAGGTCCAGACAGATCCAGAATCTCATCCTTACTAGCCAGCAAAATAAGAAGATATATGGTCAATGACATCATCCAGGATCCGAAATGCCATCCTAATATTTACTGCAGCACCAGGGATCTGTCATCTAGTTTATGCAGGTAAACATCAGCATACATTAGGTTGTCATAATTGATGTATGAACATTTTTATCACTGGATGCCATGAATGATGAAGGATTTACATAATTTGATGATGGATTTTACATCAGGGGACATTAACCATTAGCCGCCCGGCCTATAGCCGTTTGGCGGCCGCAAAAATGCTCTAGCTTTGCGGGGTGTACGCCGTTTGGCATCCTCCCGCACATGCACAGTTCGCACGGTTGCAGAGCCGCGCAGCGGCGCGATCTGTCACCGGCCGTGTACCTCGGACACGGCCAATGACAGATCTGAGTACCAGCCCCTGTTGCCGGTACCATGTGACCCTCCTGTGACCAATCACAGCAGGTCACATGACAGTTGTATACAATGGATGGCTTCATTCATGCCATCCATTGTATACTAGTGCCTAGCTGTGAATGGTCACAGCAGGTCACATGCACATGTCATGTGATTGGCTGTGGCCAAATCACAGCTAAGCAAAAAAAAAAAAAAAAAAACCCTGAATGAATCGATGTCATTTAGGTAAATACTTGCTTATAGTAAAGTAATTCTTTGCTATAAGCAAATTGTGTAAAAAAAAAAAAAAATACTGATCACTTCCCCAAAGTAGTACAATGTTACTATGGTAACGTTGTACTACTTTGGTCATAGTACAATATGAAAAAAAATCTTAAAAAAAATAAACAAAAATGTACTAAAAAAATTAAAAATAATAAAAAAAATGAAAAAAAAATATATATATATTTTTTTTTTTTCCTACTGTCACCAGTCAGTGTCCCTGTTCACCACCATGCCAGTTATATGATGATGCTGTACTGCACTGGTGACAGTATGTAAAAAGAAAAATAGTGAAAATAATTTTTTTAATTTTTTCATTTTCCGAAAAATTATGACAAAAAAAATACAACTTCAAAAAACTCGCCATGCCTCTTATGAAGTACATCGGACTGTCTACTCTGCAAAAAGGGGTCATTTGGGGATATCTGTACTGTTCTGACATTCTTGGACCTCAAGAACTTAGATTGGCTGTCAGTACTTCAGGATTGATCAATATTCAGATCTATACCATAGTTTGTGAACTCTATAACTTTCCTACAAACTAAATAATACATCCTAATTTGGGTTATTTTCACCAAAGAAATGTAGCAGAATACATCTTGGCCTAAATTTATGAAGAATAATTATTTATTTGTAAACTTTTATAACAGAAACAAAGAAAACTTGTTTTTTTTTCAAAATATTTGGTCTTTTTTTGTTAATTTAGCGAAAAATTAAAACCCCAGCGGTGATTAAATACCACCAAAAGAAAGCTCTAGTTGTGTGAAGAAAATGATAAAATTTTAGTTTGGGTACAATGTTGTATGACCGCGCAATTGTCATTCAAAGTGTGAGAGCGCTGAAACGTGAAAAATGGCCTGGGCAGGAAAGTGTAAAATTGCCCGGAATTGAAATGGTTAAAGGAGTTCTATAGTTACAGCATACACTTACATTTTATAGCATCAGCATTGTAATAGCAATAGAAACAATGGTTTGGTTTAGACAAGTCAATACAAGATTACTTGAAAAACCTTATGTGAGCACTACCTATCTGCCGGCCATCTTTTTCCACAATGTTTTTTTTTGCTTTGCAGCCTCTTGTCTTCTGTTTGCTTTCAATTTCTAAGGAATATACACTATATTGCCAAAAGGATGGGGACGCCTGCCTTTACATGCACATGACATTTAATGGTGTCCCAGTCTTAGTCCGTAGGATTCAATAACAGCTTCAACTATTTGAGAAGACTGTCCACAAGGTTTAGGAGTGTGTATATGGGAATGTCTGACCATTCTTCCGGAAGGGCATTTCTGAGGCCAGGCACTGATGTCAGACGAGAAGACCTGGCTCGCAGTCTCTGCTATAATTCATCCCAAAGGTGTTCTATTGGGTTGAGGTCAGGACTCTGTGCAGGCCAGTCAAGTTCCTCCACCCCAAACTTGCTCATCCATGTCTTATGGACTTTGCTTTGTGAACTGGTGCGCAGTCATGTTGGAACAGGAAGGGGCCATCCCCAAACTGTTCCCACAAAGTTGGGAGCATGAAATTGTCCAAAATGTCTTGGTACACTGATGCCTTAATAGTTCCCTTCACTGGAACTACGGGGCCAAGCCCAACCCCTGAAAGCAACCCCACACTATAATCTCCCCTCCACCAAACTTTACACTTGGCACAATGCAGTTTCGGCAAGTACCGTTCTCCTGGCAACTGCCAAACCAGACACATCCATTGGATTGCCAGACAGAGAAGCGAGATTCGTCACTCCAGTAAACACATCTCCACTATTCTAGAGTCCAGTGGCAGCGTGCTTTACACCACTGCATGCGACGCTTTGCATTAAACTCGGTGATGTAAGGCTTAAATGCAGCTGCTCAGCCATGGAAACCCATTCCATGGAGCTTTCTACACAATGATGTTGTGCTAATCTGAAGGCCACATGAAGTTTGGAGGTCTTTAGCTATTGACTGCAGATAGTCAGGGACTTCTGCACACTGTGCGCTTCAGCATGCTCTGTTGCTTCCACTTTGTTATAACACCACTAACAGTTGACCAATGAATATTTAGTAGCAAGGAAATTTCACGGATGGACTTATTGCACAGGTGGCAACTTATAACAGTATGACACTTAAATTCACTGAGCTCCTGAGAGCGACCCATTCTTTCACAAATGTTTGTAGAAGCAGTCTGCATGCCGAAGTGCTTGATTTTATACACCTGTGGCCATAGAGGTTATTGGAATACCTGAATCCAATTGGGAGGGGTGTCCCAATACTTTTGGTACTATAGTGTATATCCAGTGCTACTTTACTTCCTGTAAGCAATTGTTCCTGTACTGACACCACCTCCTGAAACTCCTCCTCTCAGCACCTATGTAGTTCAGAAGGCAGGCTTTGAATTCACACGGCATAGTGAATATGCATCCTAAAATTCAAAGTAAATGTGTGGAATTCTTCACAAAGTACATTTACATACTAAAAGAAGTCCAGTGAAATTTCTTGTTTTCCCATGCAGTGGGGCTATGCTTGTTTTTGTCTAGGAGTGAGAAGAACAGGTGTATACTTACCTAATTGGCTGATCCTCTGAATGCAAGACCAGTCACCAAAGCTCCTGCCCCCTCCCCCCCCCCAGGCACATTAGCGGTCCTGTGAATGGGCTGTTCCTTACGTAATCATGTCCCTAGGCCAGCTATGGACATGAGGACAACAGGAATAGTCCACCACTGGACATGGGGGGACTCTGTTTTCTGGAGGATTGAAGAATCGGGTAAGTATAGCTTTTCTTTGCACCCCTGGAAAACAAGCAGTTAACCCATGCAGTGCGGAGTTCTGCGTTAAAGATCAATCAGATTAATAGGAGTGGGCTCGAAATAATTGAAATACATTGTGGAAGTAAATGTTATATTTTGCATATTTTTTGGGATATTTTAATGTAATGTAAAAACAATACAAAATTCCATTAAATTACACTCTTGGGGGATGCTCTGAATCTACCTGTAAAGCAGCACATCTGTAAGATGTAAGATGTATATGACTCTAGAGCAAAACTGACATCTACAAATAAAAAAATGCTGAATTCAGTTTTGGTGAGTGACAGTTCCCAAACATTTCATTATGTTTGTAAAAAAATGGCCGGGGATTCCCTTCATCTTTACCAGAACCTTCCTTTTGATGAGGATCTGTTATGGATGTCAAGGGGGACCCCATGCAAACACAACAAAACAAATAGCATTGGGTCATAATTTCATTCCAGATCATTATCTGAGCATGCAGCCTGGTGTAGTGTGTGTAAGGTGTGTGTGTGTGTGTGTGGGGGGGGGGGCAAGAACCCCCATCCTGAACCATAGCAGGCACATGCCATCAACATGTTGATGAAGACAAGGTCCTCTTTCACACACCTTGACCCAGTGGTTGTAAGGGTCTATGGTTGGAGGCTTTTTGGAATCTAGAAGTCTCCTTTAAAACAATGACTGAGTAAGGGGTAAAAGAATGGAATACACAAAAACCAGATATAAACAGACAGACAATTGGTCCATTTTACAGAAACATAGAAAAGTGATGGCAGATGTCCACCGAGTCTGCCTGTTTTTTTTTTGTGTGTGTGTGTGTGTGCGTGTGTGTTTGTGTTACTTTGTGTGTGTGTGTGGGGGTTGTTTGTTTTCTTGTTTGTTTTTGTTTTTTTGGGGGTTTGTTTTTTTTTTGTTAAATTTTTTGTCTGAGTATAGATCTATTATCACGTACCTGGTGGGGGAGACTGACGTGGAGATGAGGGCATCCTCTTACACCCCCTGCTTGGTGCCTCTGATAGAGCAAACAGAAGACACGAGAGCCAGACGTGGCACGAGTGCCTGGCAAGTCTGCAATGTCAGGTGGGTAGTCCGGACGATCAGGATGCAGGTCAGTTGCGGATGCAGGTGAGCAGAGGATGCAGGTCAGCAGGAGCAATGGCTGGAAGGTTCTAGCAGTAACTCGGTAACTGCAGACAGTAGGTAGCAAGTGGTAGGCACAGGCTGGAGAAGAAGCAGAGTCAGACAAGCCGGGTTGGAATCTATCAGGTGGATCAGGTACAGGGAGCAGGCAAATGGATAGTCAGGCCAGAAGTCAGCAACCATAGGCAGATAGCAGGGGAACAGGCAAAGATGTAGTCAAAGGGTAAGCTGGGTCCAGGGGCAGACTGACAACTCATGGGGCCCCCAGGCAATAGGGGATCATGGGGCCCCTGTGTCCTTGCTCAAACTCAAAAAAGCCTATGAAAAAGGTACCAGGGGCATCTCATGGGGCCCCCTACTGATCCCAGGCCCTCGGGCAGTGCCTGAGTTTCCAAATGGTCAGTCTTCCCCTGGCTGGGTCGGTCAGGTCAGGTTGGCAACAGGATCAGGATATAACAGATAATGGAACATGGTAGACAAGAAGGCAAGGACTCTTAGTGCAGTAGCGGTTTAAATAGCAATCAATAAGTACAGCGCTCTATGAGTACAAACTAAATCTCTACATACACAAAATATGACATAATGGTGGAACAAACTGTGAATCCTAATGAAAGTAAATGTTAAAACAGTGCAACATCACAATATAGTGCTTATAGTAGAAATGACTGATAATAAGCCCCCTACTGCAGGGGATATACCCTATAACACAAGTGCTCAGTGTCAACACACTCTATTCATAACCATAAATAACTGCCGAAATCATATATATGCACATCACTCAAAATCATATCTTAAATAACAAAACATGCCACCAGTGTCCACAACATTGAATGCAAACATGCAAGTGAATCTTGTGCGTTTGTAGGCTCTGGTGATGACTCCACACACACAGCTAGATTGGCCTCTCACCTCCTTGCTGCGACCCTAAAAGGGCATGCGCATGGGCATGGCTGTTAGGTAATTGGCATTGGCGGATAAATGTGCGCCTGGGCATTCTCTGTTTTCCCTGACATCTATGCTTGTCCCAATCATGTTTGAAGCTATTTACTGTTGACTGGCTCACTACCTCTGCAGGAAGATTATTCAAAGCATCAACTACTCTTTTAGTAAAATAGTACTTTCTGAGATTAGTTTTGAACTTTCCTCCAGTTAGTTTAAGGTCATATCCATGTGTTCTTAATTTTGCTTTCGTGTTGAATATACTGCACTCCTTTTTGCATCCATTTTTGCATTGATAGTGGATGTAAAACACTGATGTGAAAACTGATGAAGAACTGATGCTAAACTGATGGTAAACTGATGAAAAAGGCTTAATCTGTTTTTTTCTTTGAAAAAACATGACTTAACTGATTAAACCAACAGTCTTCACGTGTGAAAGGGGTCAAAATGTCCCATGATGTATATCCATTGTCAATCATGTAATCCAGTGGTATAAATCCATGTCATTCATGATGAACAATGCCCATTGGCCCAACAAAAGAAAAAACATGCCAACCTCTGACATGATCCACTCCTGATGACTGCCAAATGACAGTTTGCAGAGCTGACATCTGAATGTATACAAAGCAGCAGGGTATAATAGGTGGTGTCATTAAACGAATATGTATATTAGCATATTTGTTCGGTAATGTCAACTGTGATCCTCAGTGATGTCACTGACCAAAAATGGTCATGTCCAAATTTGGTCAGTGACACCCAGGCTACCCTTCCCCTTATTTACCTTCAGCTATGGGCTACAGATGCTGTCATTAAAGGTGACCAGTTGTTTGAATGGAACATGTCGATGGGTTGACATGTTTTTTCTGGAGCAGATCAGCTGACCCCATTCATCTTGTTTGATAAGAATCAGCATTGCTGTCCAACAGGAGAGGCTTCCAGAGGGTTGTTGGAAAGAGGCCCTTGTCCTCACCCCCCATTTCCCCAGCAAGACACCCTCCCTATGTTATGGGTATGGCCTCGCATGGTTCAGGAGAGGAAGTGCACTTTCGTCCCACCCTTTTCCTATTCAGCCAAGTAGCATGCTCAGATAAGGGTCTAGTGTCGTTTTGGGGGAAAGCCTGTGTTTTCTTTTCCTTGTTTTTCGAATGAGGTTTCTCATTGACATCTCTTTAAAGAACTTCTAATCAGCCTAGCATTAATCTATCATTATTAACGCGTAAAGTGGGAAGGGAAGTTCTGTCGACTTTCATCATTCAATCGTGCATGAAAAATTGAGTATTCTTTGCAAAGTGAATTTTCTCCACATTCATTAACCTGAGGGAAGAAGACCTTCAACAGCGAACAGTCTATTTGTCTTTAGTGAATCAAGCCCATAGACTCTTTGCTTAACCTCCTTGGCGGTATGATTATATCCAATTTTTTGTGCTGAATGCGGTACCATTTTTTTGCATGGAGATATGTAGTTTTTTATTGTAGGCTGTAATTTTTAGGAATAACTCACTAAAATCTGTCCGAACAAGAGTCTAGTAAACATTCTGGATATGATAAAACTTGAAACACGAAATCATAAATTATAATTTAATACATAATCATAAAAAAAAAAAAAAATATAATAATAATATATTTAATTCAATAATATAATCAAACCAAAAACACTGCAATTTGAAATACAGAGGCAAATTCGCACATCTCTGAGCAAAGTCGCAAAATCGTTTTCAGTGTCTGATGACGAATTTCCCCACGAATCATTATCACTCAATTCTGCAAGTGGTTCTAATTTACTATCGCTGTTCTCTAGCTGGTCTACAACCGCTTTTGACATAAAGGGACGCTTTTTGGATGCCATGGACTTTTCTAAGTTTCCAGAAAGGCAGAAAGAACAGTCAAAATGCAGGCAGGGCACAGGACAAAGCAGTAGGGACAAAATGTATGTGACATGGTTTGATACAGTAATGTTTTACTATATAATAATCATTTTTAAAAAAATGAAATTTTTAAAAAATTTAAAATTTGCTGCCGGCTCCGGCGCCCGTACGTCCCGACGTCACAAGGACCGGAACACAGAAGCCGGATGCCGGCATTGGCCGGGGACGCTGCAGGGGACACATCGCGGGAGCGAAGGACAAGGTAAGTGCTGCAGGGACTCCCCGAGCAACGCCGCATGGTAAGCTCGAGTGTAGATCGGGGTTACCGCTCTTGGTACTGAAATTTTACCCCGAGCTACACTCGGGAATACTGCCAAGGAGGTTATAGAATAACTCCACTTTTTTTTAGAAGAAAAAAACCATCCCTTCTGGGTAATCTATGTGCATTGCAAGGATTTTAACCATTTTTATAGCAAGGTCCTGCCTGTATCTGTTCTACTATATCTTTGCACGTCTGGTTCCTGAATGGGAGAGTCTGTGTTCAATATAATCACCTCAGTATGTACAGCAAAATGGAAAAATGAGGCTGCACTCCACAGAGGTCCCACTGGTAAGTTTATTGTTTGTAGCTGGCTGTTGAATCAGTCCCCACCCTTAGGCCACACCCCCTGATATGTTTCACCCCTCCTTGGGCCTCTTCATACCTTCTTAAAAGTAATTAACCTATAAGGGGTATCTCACCAAAATATAATTGCTATTGTAGAGGATGTCTTACATTTTACATGCATCATAGTGCAGACTTTTGGGAAAATCAGTGAGCTAATCACACAAGCAGGAAATGACATTTCTGGAAAAGTTCTGAGCACCAACTTTTTTATAGAAGGCCTCCAGGTTGGAATATTGCATTGAATTTTACAAAAAACTACATCAGTTGCAGATTAAAAAGGAAAGGCTATTTTTAATAACATAAATTAGAATGTGTTTTGTGTAGCAACTGCATATACGATATTATTCTTTTTTGTTATATTTTTTTCACAAATGTGGAGTTACACTTTAAGCTTATTTTCTTCTATGTGTATAACAAATTCTGAATTGGAATTTTTTTTTCAGCAGCCTGTTACAAACCGATAGAGAACAAAAATGTAACAGCATTAAAAAAAAACATGATTAGAGATACCAATTCATTTGTAATATATGAAAATGTACTCTATGTACATTTGTGAAACATAAGGCACAGTTTATTTCTCCATTTCTTGCATGCATTGTTTTTGAAAATACATGATCACTGTCAGAGTAGGCAAGGTCATCTCAAGTTCTCTTCTTGTGTGCTGGAGTGTACATACCTTGTGTTTTCTTAAGATAACACTTAACTTCCTTGTATTTTTATTTGCTATGTTTTACTTGCCGAGTTCATAATACAGACTCTGTAAAAAATGCTTTCTGTTTGAAATGCATAGAATGTTGAACCTGAATAAGAAAGTTTTAGTTCTATATGATGTGCTGCAATTGTTAATTTTATTTATTTATGCCATTTTAAATGCAAGAGATATGTTAAACAGAAACAAGAATATATATTCTCTTCAAAGAGCCAATCAAATAATAAAACAATTACATTTTACTAATTGTGTATACATAATGAGTGCAGCCAAATATGTTGGTACCTTCATCCAAGCTGACTTAGAGGAGGAAGACAACAGACAGGAAACATATGTATTTTGTTGGTACCGTTATAGACTATGCATATATTCCAGTTAAAATCAAAGATTTCTTTTATTTAATACAAAACCAAGTAAGATTAAAAACAAACACATATAAATTTTGCGTAAGCTCCCAACAGCTGCCCCAAAATTCCAACTATAATTACTGTTCTTCAGATATATGACTGTGAAGTCAGTAAGTATGTTGAAACACTTGTTTAGTTCCCACTCAGTGACAGTGATCTCAGCAGAGATAAACTTATCCAACTACATTATTTGCATAGAGTTATTATACTCCGACTCATTTGTTTAAAATGCGTAAACGTCCCACCCTTATCTGTCATAATGTGAAAGTGAAACAGGTGATTTCTTACATATGGTTTGGGGGTGCAATAGGATCTGCCCCTTCTGGTCACAGATGACAGCCTTTATTGCTGACACTGATCTCCCAAATGTATGCTGTCCTAAGTGGTGCCTGTTCGGAATTTTTGAAAACCTGGAGGTGTCTACAGTTGCCAAGCACTTCCTTATACTCCTGTTTTACAACACCCATAAGATAATTGTGCTCATTTGGACCTGTATAGAGATGCTGCATATTGGGCTTTGGAAAAAGGGTATTAATCAGACCTTACCTATGTATAAACTAACGTAAAAAGTTTTATAAGTTTTGGAGCCCATGGCTTGGTACTCAGGATACTAGTGACTCCTTGCTGATATTGATATCTGACCCTGGGTAGAGTAGTGTTAATTTAACCTATTCATTTGTTGGTAAAGTGTACCTCTATTCCAGGACGTGGATATTCTTCCATCCACTGCCTCAGCCACTTATTCGTATTTTTCTCTCTGCTGTAGGTGAAGACACTGGTTCTATTATGTCCAACTATTAGGGTAATGCAAATGTATTGTTATTTTTA